AGTCCTCTGTCCTTTCTCTCATCACATTTGTTGCATTCACTGAAGTAAAGCAGCGGGAACATATCCAAGAGTACCCAAATCAAGGAGGTGGCTAGGACCACCTGGCAATATGCAAAATTTCTCATGGCACCTGGCTGTGCTCGCTGTGGCAGCAGCGGTCCCGCCGGCTGCCTCCTGGGCGCTACTCTCCGGCCGCTGTGCGCAGCGCCACATCCTCTGCCACTGCCGGCGGCGGCTCCCGCAGAAGGCGGGCGGCCTGGCGCGGGCCCCGCCTCCGTCGTGCCCGCCCCCGCCTTCCGCGCTGGGCCTCCTGGGCTGGGCGTGCCAGTCCGGGCGCCCTGCATGCCGCTGCCGCTTGCTCGGGCCCATTTCCTATCTTTATTTCTTTTATTTCTTTCTCTTGTCTAATTGCTGTGGCTAATGTTTCCAGAACTATATTGAACAGGCGTGGTGATAGTGGATATCCTTGTCTTGTTCCTGGTTTTAGTGTGAAGGATTTCAGTTTTTGACCATTTAGTATGATATTGGCTGTTGGTTTCTCATTGATGACTTTTATCAGGTTGAGGTAAAAACCATCTATTCCAACTTTCTGTAGGGTTTTCATCATGAATGGGTGTTGAATTTTGTCAAACGCCTTTTCTGTATCTATTGAGATGATCATATGGTTTTTGTCATTGGCTCTGTTAATATACTGTATTGCATTTATTGATTTGTGTATGTTAAACCATCCCTGCATCCCTGTGATGAATCCCACTTGGTGAGGGTATATGATCTTCTTGATGATCTTCTGCACTCTATTTGCCAGTATCTTATTAAGGATTTTTGCATCTATGTTTATTAGTGAGATTGGCCTATAGTCCTCTTTTTCAGTTGGGTCTTTCTCTGCTTTGGGGATCAAGGTGATGCTTGCTTCTAGGAATTAATTTGGGAGTATTGCTTTTCTTGCAGTTTCATTGAAGAGTTTGAGAAGTAGTGGCATTAGCAGTTGTCTAAATTTCTTGTAGAATTCAGCAGTGAATCCATCAAGACCTGGGCTTTTCTTTGTTGGTAAGTTTTTAATTAATTTATATGTATCTAGGAATTTGTCCATGTCTTCTGTGTTTTCCATCTTATTGGAGTAGTGGTTCTCAAAGTAGGTATTGATGATCCTCTGGATTTCTGTTGTATCTGTTGTGACTTCAACTTTTTCATTCTTAATTGCATGTATTTGTGCCTTTTCTTTCCTTTTTTTGATAAGGTTGGCTAGGGGTTGTTCAATTTGGTTGAACCATTTTGGTTGGTTC